GGAAGGCAAAGTAACTACCAATATGGATAGGATAGCTAAAGTAGCGGAGGAATTTTATAGAGATCTGTACACTAGCCGAGACAACCACTACAATAGCGTAAAAACTAGTAGTAACCCATGTGTCATCCCACCAGTATTGACAAAAGAAGCCAGGAAAGCCTTGGATGGAATGCAAAAAGGGAAAGCTGCTTATGAGGATCAGGTAACATCAGATCTGCTGAAAGACGGAGGGACAGATTGTGTTAGAAAAGCTAGCCACGCTGTTTACGAAGTGTCTCCTGACGGGAGGCTATGAGAGTCTTGGAAGATTGCCAACATCGTCGTAATCCATGAGAAAGGGGTGACAAGGATTTCAAGAATTACAGGCTGATCAGCTCGCTCTCTGTTCTATACAAGCTATTTATAAAGGCAATTGCTAACAGAATTAAGACCACGTTAGAATTCAATAAACGAAGGAACAAGCAGGATTTCGGACAGGCTACTCAGCAATCGACCACAGTTCATACTATCAATCAGGTAATTGAAAAATGCTCAGAATACAGCCAACCCCTATACATAGTCCTTCATAAATTACGAGAAGGCCTTCGATTCAGTAGAAATATCAGTAGTAATGCAGATACTGCGGAATCAGGGCGTCGACGAAGCATATATAAACATCCTGGAAGAAATCTACAGGGGATCAACTAGCTACTATAGTGCTTCATAAAGAAAGCAACAGAATACCAATCAAGAAGGGTGTAAGGCAAGGGGATACAATCCCTCCAGTGCTATTTACCGCGTGCTTACAGGAAGTTTTCAGAGGCCTACAATGGGAAGAGTTAGGGATAAGATTTAATAAAGAGTATACCTTAGTAACCTACGCTTCGCCGTTGACATTGCATAGCTGAGTCCCTGAGTAACTCCGGGGACGAGTCGCAACTCATGATTACGGTGTTAGACAAGGAAAGCAGAAAAGGTAGGTCTTAAAATTAATCTGCATGAAACGAAAGTAATGTACAACAAATTCGGAACAGATCAGCGCTTCGAGATGGGTAGCAGTGTACTGAAGTTCTAAAAGAGTACGTCCACCTAGAACAGGTAGTAACCGTGGAACCGAACAGATACTGAAGTAGTTGGAAGATTCAGAATGAGGTGGAACACATTCGGCAAGCATTCTTAAATCATGACTGCGAGATTGCCATCTATCCCTCAAGAGGAAGGTATATAACAGCTGCATCTCGCCGGTACTGACCTATGGAGCAGAAACCTGGACGCTTACAAAGAGGGTTCAGCTTAAGTTGAGGACGATGCAGCGAGCGATGGAAATGAAAATGATAAGGGTTACCTTAACAGACAAGAAGAGGGAAGAGTGGGTCAGAGAACAAACCTGGTGTTAAGGTTGTCATAGTCTAAATCAAAGAGATGAAATGTGTATGGGCCACTCACGTAGCGCGTAGGCAGAATAACTGCTGTCCATTAAAAGTAACTGAATTCCCTGAGAAGGCAAGCGGGTGAGGGAGACACAAAGTTGGGTGGGCAGGTGAGATTAGGAAGTTTGCGGGTATAAAGTGGCATCAGCAAGCACAGGACCGAGTCGCCTGGCGGAACATGGGAGAGGCATTTGTCCTGCAGTGGGCGTAGTCAGGCTGGTGAAATTATACACGCACACATACAAACGCACGCACAAACATACGTAATTCGGTTGAATAGTCTACCCTCCCCCTCCCCAAAATATTCCGGCTACACTACTTATACCCTGCAAAATTCATTCGACCCCGTCGGCTTTTTTAGCAGATTTGTCAATCTCTAGGGTCTTATATTGTTCGTTTTGCAATTTCCACGGAGGCGAACATTCTGTAAGCCCATGTGCTCAGATCTGGGTGCATGTTAAAGAAACCCAGGTGGTCGAAATTTCCGGAGCCATGGTGTCTCTAATAATCATATGGTGGTTTTCGGACGCTAAACACCACATATCAATCAATTATATTGTTCGTTTGAGTCACTCTTTGCATCCAAGTTTCATTGGAAGGGTCCTGAACGTCCCAAATAACTATTTCGATTATCTCGAAAAAAGACTTACCTTTCGAGTTTTCGAAATTTCAATCCATCATCGCCTTCATCGTCATCATCAACACCATCTCTATACAGTTCTTGACCACCCTTCCTTTACCAAATGCTGAGTAGCTAGTTAGAAAATTGATTCAGGCTGACCTCTCAGCTTTTTTTTTTTTCTCATAATAAACCTCTCTATCTCTCACTCAAATTTCTTTATTTCTTTTTTCGTGGGCCACAGACGTGAAAAAAAGTAAAGGCGAAGGGTACTGGCGAGAAAATGAGGAGGTTTGCAGAGGAAAGCTAGAGCTGACGCTTTGAAGCTAGCTACATAGATACGTGGCGCCTCGTCGGGGAGAACGCTGCAACTGCGCAACCATCCGTAGGGTCTCCGAAATCGAACGGCGTGTGCTCGGAGGTTGTCCTGCCGAGTGAATCGAGCTCTGCGACAGGTGCCGTTAGTAGTCCGTTTTAGTTTGAATCAAGGCGTTCCCTCGATTTAACCACAATATACAATTACGAGTGTGAAAAAAATAACAAAAGAGGTGCTAGAACGACAAGAAAAGAGACCGACGAAGAAAAGTACACAGAAAACGGACGCAATGGTCTGTGTCATTTCATCGAACTGTCATTCTAGCGTGGTATTTCATGGCGTAAACAGGTGTTCTGTGGCGTAACCATAAACCAACCAGGCGAAACACCTCAGCTAGCCCAAATTCGTACCCTTAGGAATGATAGTTTCGTGAGCTCAGAAGCTTCAAATCTTTCGTGTGCCTGAACATGGAGATGTCCTCTTTTGCTTTTTCAGCAATGCACGTCGCACGTGTGCAGCTGAAACAATATTTTATCACAATGAATATAGGCGAACGGAAAAATCCACAGTTTAGTCCGGAAAGGCTGGGCGATTAACAGCAAGTATTCGCTGAAGCTAGGCTCGGTCGGTGGCACCGGCGAGTGCCTAGATCCGACCAACATCGCTCTAAAACACGCACGAACGTATGCTGAGTATACGCGTCGTTCATAATCGTTAGTCAATTACAGGCATATTGTCCTAGTTCCGGTACGAACAATGCATGGGGTGCAAGCGTGGTTTGGCGCGAATTAGGTCTTGTAACATTTATCTTTTGGAAACAGATACGCAAGCTCAGATAACTCTGTAATGACGATATCTTTGTAATGAATCCCGGCTGCATTTCCGATAGAGGCGGAAATGTTTTAGGCCCGTGTGCTCAGATTTGGGTACACGCTGAACAACCCCGGGTGGTCAAAATTTCTAGAGCCCTTCACTACGGCGTCTCTCATAATCATAGTGTGGTTTTGGGACGTCAAACCCCACATATCAATCATCATCAATCATTTTAGTGCACAAGGATAGAGTAAGGAGTCTAACGACGACAGTACAAGACATCCACGACACCGGCGGAACAACCTTGGGCGTGGGCGCACGCAACGAGGTACAAATGCAGACAAGCTCTGTAAATCAACATCGTCTCATTGTAACGGTTAGTTATTTTCAAAAATAGTTGTAAAGCTCCGGATAAATGTGGGTAAGCATAGTTACACGAACATCTGCGAAAGTAGAACAACGACAGCATGCACAGGTCTCTATGCACAAAAGCTACTGGCATCGCTGTCAATTTTCAGCGTTGCTAAACAAAAGGGCACGTCCGTGTTCAGAGGCTTTCAGATAAAAAAATACTTCTTATATAATGACTAAGTGCTTTTGGGATTACCTGTGGTACCTACGAACACCACGAATGGTAAGCTTTCTGTCGCGCCGGGAAAAGCTGAGTCGAAAAAAATCAGTTGCCGGTCCCTTCAAGACGTTCGAAGGGCCATCCAGCGGCTTGAGGAGGCCCTGGCAAAGCAGACGAGAAAGGGAACCGATGCCCCGGACAACGGGAGCGGAGGAGCCCGAGTATCCAACGCCTAGCCAGAGCACAACGTCCTCAAGATCTAGGGCCTGGGACTATAGGACTATGAGCCATAGTCTTTAGATAGGGAATACCCGCGCCCTGCGCGGCCGGTGACTTCCCGCACGCCGGATGCGCGAAAAATGTTGTTTCTCCCTCTCTCAAGACGTTCGCCTACTTGGTAGCGCTGCCGCTGTCGCATGTTTTTCGACAGCTCCGAGTTGGAAAGGTCAAGTTCCTGCACGCGCAGTTTATCGTATTGTGCTACCGACAATGAAACTACTTCGTACGAGTGGCACACGTTTGGTTATTTTAAAGCACGAGTTTTTATTTTAAATAGTTTAGCATCGTTCATTAAATATATTTAAATACAGACAGGCTCCCACTGAAGCCCCGGCTTCTAGAATTCCATATCGTTTTTTCATTTTTTTGTTAAATTTTTATTATTCGATTGTCTGGCCTGGTAGACGGAATATCGAAAATGCTAAAGAATTCCTCCCCCCCCCCCCCCTTCCACTCCCTGACATTCACTGATCTGGGTTTGCAACTTGGAAGTGTGGCAGTTTGGGCTGGTTGGTATGACATGACGATAGCTATAGCGTGAGAACAGAACGACAACAAAGAGATGCGCAAGAAAATAAGCTCGTTTTACTCACCCCTCCGCAGCTTTCAGCAACCAACAGTGCAACCAGAGAACACTTTGCAACTTCGAGCTGTGTGTACATTTGGCTCGTTTTCAAGCCTACGCGCCAAGGTGCGAGTTCCCGTAATGCATTGTTGCAGTCTGAAGTATCTCATCTGTTCCTCGTCTCATCTGTTGCTGCTTTCGTGCTTCATCGTTACATTTTGCAAACCAGTTATAGGCGCGTAAATGATGCAATAAGAATAACGCAGTCTCACCAATTCGTTCAATCTCGTTGTACTTTATTTGCCAGATGGCGCTGCCTGTCAACCCAGCGGCAAGCTTGACGTGTTGGGATAGGTTGGGGTGTATTTGTATCATTTGTCCATTAGTACGTTCGTCATGGGCCTCATGGCAACTGCAACCGACTGCAACCGTAGCAACAATAACCCCTATCAGCTGCTTGTAAGCAGTACACCTGCGTCAATTTTGTCGCCCCGTGCATCACGCGTCCGCGCGGGCGCCCTGTTGCGAGCAATCGAGCGCCGAGTTCCTCAGCTCAGTGTCTCGCGATCTTCGAGACGGCTTCTTTTGATCCGCGTTATCTCCGCGATAAAGTGTCGCGTAGTTGGTTTCGGAGAGGCGCCAAGTACAGGAGCGAAAGAGGACCTATCGACCCTCTTAACAGGCAAGGAAGTGGTGGGTGCGAACCACTTAGAAGAAACTTAAAACCGTGTCGTCGACGGCAAAATCAGAGACTGCAAAAAAATGTCCTCTGCTACGTATCAGCGCATCAACGTGGGACCGCCGCGGCACGTTGAGGAAAGCGAGAACTCCAACGCTGACATGGAGCGGCTCGCCCTGGACTGCCTATTCGTCCGTCGCTTCCGCAGACTCGCCGGAATCGTGCTGTCGAACTGCCGGCGCCGTGCTCGTGATGGTTGTGCTACTCCTGCTCTCCGTCGCGTACGAGATCATAGTCTACCAGGTCGGTCTCACCACTAGCCAGTTCTACGTCGTCCTCGGCAAGAAACACTGGTGGGGCTTCTTAAACCAGACTGCTTTCTGTCTGGGCCTCATCGCTCTTGTCGCGTTCGTCAAGAGCGGCAAGCAGTACGTCTCCAGCACGGTCACGGTCCAGTGGCGACAGCTGCTCACCAAGCGGCTGCAAGAGCTGTACTTCTCGGGCAAGGTCCACTACCGCGTAAACGTCGCCGAGACCGGCATCGACAACCCGGACCAGCGGATCACGCAGGACGTGGCCCGTCTCTGTCAGGTTCTGTGCGACATCGTGCCCACCCTGCTCATATCTCCATTCACGATCGCCTACTACAGCTACCAGTCTTTCAGCGTGGCGGGCTACATCGGCCCACTAGCCGTGTTCGTCTACTTCATCATCAGCACTCTCGTGAGCAAGCTCCTGATAACGCGGGTTGTTCCCAGGGTTTACGAACTGGAAAAGCAGGAAGGGCGGATTCAGGTACAAGCACGCCCAGGTCAGGGCTAATTCGGAGTCGGTAGCCTTCTTGGATGGAGAGTTTGCAGAGCTTGACTCCACAGAGGAGCACTTGGTTGAACTAGTGAAGGCTCAGCAGTCTGTTTACAACCATCAGCTACCCCTTAACCTGGGCGTTTACTTCACCGACTATGCCGGGAGCATCCTAAGCTTTCCTGATCATAGCCGTGCCCCTCTTCACCGGTGCTTACGACGACGTCTCAACGGCTGATCTCAGTGGGATCATCAGCAAGAACACATTTGTCTCTATGTACTTGATCAGCTGCTTCAGCAAGCTGGTAGACTTGTCCAGCGGAATTTCGACCGTGGCTGGCAACACGCACAGGATCTCTGTTCTCCTGGAGAGGATGGAAGCCATCAGCGAGGAATATAATCTTGTGGATAAGATTAAGCAGGCAAACAAGCCCTCCAAAGAGGACGACAACAACACAAGTGATGGTATACATATACAAATCATTCTTCCTTTATTTTTGAATGAGTGCGCATTGTCTTTTACAGGAGCATCGAACTGAGTAGTTGGAAAGGTAGATGTTGTATTGCCTATAGTTGAAAAGGTAGACGTCGTGTTGCCTAGAAACAGAGCCTCGTTATTCTTCATTTATCAATGCTAGTTTCATAAATTTAGGTCGAAGTAACAGCAATACATTTGAGCAGGTAGGCAAACGCTATTCAGAAGGTTCCTTTAGCCGAAACATGTTGAATCGTAGCTTCATCACATGCAGCAGGCTAGTCAAGATCTTTGACATCTTTGTCATCCTGATCAAGTAAAAAAAAAAAGATGACTTCAAAGCAATTATTGAATGCACATCACCCACTCAGCAAAGACAATGGTAAAACATGACTGAAAACATAACAAGGAACACTTAATATTCTGATATTTGCTCTACTAAGTGCAAGCTTGCCAAAATGCAAGTAGTGGTTCAACAAATAAAACTCTTGCATTAATAGATCAAATATTCAACTAAGAACCAAAAGGTACTATGCAAATGTTCACCCTTGCTGTATTGCGAACCTTAAATCGCTGTAACAGTTCAGTCCCTTCATAACACGTAAGGTTACCAGTATTTTATTCAACATTTTAGCCATATTTGTGGATATAAGTTTGCCAGTGGTCTAAATATAGTGGAACATTTTAATTTGCTAACATACCTCGTATGTGCCTATGCACCTCTGCCTCCATCGTATAGTAATTGTGTTTAATTCATCTTGGCATGTTGAGCCACTGTTACTGCCAAATGCTTCTTTGTCGTTTCGTGGAGTGAACATGCTATCATGTACAGTGTCGTTCTTTATGAAAGGGAACTGGCAAGTGCGTGGCGTGCGCTCTGTCGTGGCTGCCTACAGCACCATCACTTACTTGACAGATGAAGAAAGCGCGTCCGCTTCTGGCGGCACCACGTGTCATCAGACTGGAGTGGGAGGGTTATTTAGCAGTGCTTGTCCAGCAGTCATGACTTGTTATTTTGTTGACCAATAGACGACGCCAAATTCTGACATGCTTCCTTTGGCTGTCGCTTTATGCTGCTTTGGGCAGCCAGGTTTAAATGTACAGATATGATGATAAAGCCGATAAGAGGATTATTGCCATTGTAGCTTATTGGTAGAGAACCACTCACGCTATTCGAAGCTTAGTAATGTAGCGTTTCGGGTGTGTAAGCACGTCTTACTCTACTTTTCTATCGCACGAGAAAAGCCAGACAGAGAAAGACGGGACGGGCGCTAACTTGCAACAATTTTTATTCCAGAAAAAGGTAACCATATATATAGCCATCACTTTGAAATCATCATGATCGCACGCACTTTGCAAGTTCATATATCTTTATGCAGATAGGCTAACTCCTTGCATGAAAGGGCAATCAACAGTTTTGAAATACAGTTATGTGCTAGCCCGTGTCAGTCATTTCAGCTTCCATTATTCCACTGGTAAGTAGACCTCTGCCGGTAGCGACAATTGAGCTCTCATGAAAAATCGACATGCACACGGTACGGACATCATTACTTGCACTGTCACTTGAATTGCCGCAATGCTTGCAGTGGGAATCAAGGATCCCATTTTTTTTTACATGTTGTAGCAGTGCTATTTTAAATGTTCATTTATGCACCCTAAATTCGCTGACCCGTCTTCCGCTGTCCACGATTTTTCGTACGCTAGAAAACCACAGTACCGTTATTCAAAGGTTGCCGGTTTGATCCCTGCCGATGCAATTGTCTTTTTGCCCGCATCAATCTCATCGCATATATATATCACAATTACGACAAGTGACATCAACTCTACTTTCCATAGCTTCGTTGCCTGTTAGTTCACAATAATGTTTTTCTCTCACAAAAATGAGTGCCTGAATTCATTTCTTTTGTGTGTTCTTCTGGGAAGCTCAAGGTCAAAGGTTCAATATTAGATGCAGCAGTTTCGCTCTGAAGAGGATGGAACATTTAAGTGCTTGTGTGTACAGGTTTAGACGCATGTTAAAGAACTCTACATGGTCAAAATTTATTGGCAGTTTCCCGCAGCAGCTGGTTTTACAACCCCACAATTGCTTTGTGATAATGAACTCAATTACCCAAATAATGTCAGCATTATCTGCTAGAAAAAAAAGCTGTTCAAAGGTACCAGACATTCTAATTGCATCAGAGACACAGGAAGAGCTCTTTTTTCATGCATGGCTATAAATCTTTAAAATTAACAGCTGCCTCTGTTGTAAGTGATTGTCATAATGCAGTTGTCGTAGTCCACTGCTCGTGATGTCGTCATTGTGCCTTTAGCAATTTTGTCTTAGTGTACCTGTCGCATCTGAACTGTGCATTTTTATACATGACAAGCATGTTCTTTGTAGTCGGGAGCAACTTCTTTTGGCAATGAGGCAAAGGCTAAAGTGCTAGATTGATATGTGAGGTTTAACGTCCCGAAACCACAATATGATTATGAAAGACGCCGTAGTGGAGGGCTTCAGAAATTTTAACTACCAGGGGTTCTTCAACGTGCACCCACATCTGAGCGCACATGCCTACAGCATTTTTGCCTCCATCGAAAATGCAGCCGCCTCAGCCAGGATTCAATCCCGGCACCTGCTAAAGAGCTAGATTAAGTGAGTACTAATGGCGTACAATCAATGGAGTACAATCAATGCACTGCCATGGTTGCATCCATGTTTTCTATACGAGAAAAATTTTACGTCATTCTTACAGGAAGCTATTTAAAGAGGATGCAGGGCACATCAGTGAGATATTAATGTGATGGCGCTGAAGAGCTCACTTCACGAAAGACTGTCTGTGAACATTTTACTGGTCCTCTGTCTTTCTGCACTGTTTTCATGTTAAATTGCTCAAAAGTCTGGAGTTGATGTCGGCATCTTCGGTTGCTAGTGAGAAATCGGCACAGTCTGTAAGTAAGAAATCAAGGTAGATTCAAAATAAATAAAAATATTCAGTTGGAGCGCAAATCAAATCTTGGGTCTTCATAATGTTGCAAGCAAGAGCTCTAGCATAGAGCCATTCCAGTGCTCTAAACATTTTCAAAAGAAACCCTATATGAATGTGATTTAGTGTGAGGAGTCTCAATGCACTTAATATTAATATGTGCCAGAAGCACCAGGCTACAAACATGCGAACCGTGCCACGAGTTGGAGGTTAAAGGCCCACCCATCGCAAATCACTCAGGCGTAAATAGTCATTATCATCAACAGTGAACTTCATTAAACTTCAGCCCTACCATACCGAATGTGCACCGAAGCAAGCCAATAATGAAAGTTCTTCTGTGACATCATAGAATGGAACAGTGATGTGATGTGTCCACACGCGTTCTTGAACTGTTGCCGACTCTCGTTAAGTTTAGTCTGTCATTCCCACAAAATTTGTTTTTCAGAAGCCCCGAAAATTTTCTTAATTGCTTCACAGTCTGTCTGCAAATAGTGACCAAAGTTCCAGGAGACCTACCCACTGTGTCATTTGGTGTATCTAGTGTTGTGCTGCTAAGGACGACTCTTAGGGCTAGATTTTTAGTCACAGCATCAGCATTTTAATCATGCTGAAATTGAAAAAGGCATGGATACCTTTACTCAAGTTTGCAATAAAAAAAAATTGGTGGGATAAGCTTATCTGGAGTTGACTCCCTGTGGTGTGCCTCATAACTAGTTCTTTACTCCTGCATGTGAGACTCCAGAATTTGCTTTTTTCAAAGGAAATACTAAAGAGGTAGAAATGTGGAACAGTGATGTAACCTGATTAGCTTGCACCTGTTCTTTGTGTTTCATTTTGCAGAACCAGTGCCGCAGTTTATCCTGAAGAATGTATCCTATGGAAGCCCATATGACGACAACATCTTCGCCGAAGGACTGATGCTCGAGTTAAGACCACCAAGAAGCGTTTTTGTCACCGGACCGAGCAACAGTGGCAAGACAGTCCCTGCTGAGGATACTGAAGGGCCTCTGGACTCCACTGTCCGGCTCTGTCACGAGGGAGTTCTGTGGCTCTCTGTTCCTTCCGCAAGTGACGTGGTTCGGCAGCGGCAGCCTCAGGTCCCAGCTCTACTACCCCTATGCCCCACCAAAGACCACGCCACATGAGGAAGGAGAGATATGGAGGTAAGGAAAAAATGTCGGTACATAGCTGATATTGAGCGACAGGATCAATGAGAAAAAACGACTGCGGCTTAGCTCGGCTAGGCACAGTTACTGCAAGCGAATGCTTGTTTACACAGTTTGTAAACCGAATGATATTGCTACAGTGGAAGCTCGCTAAGTCGAATTCGAAGGAGACATCAAAATTTTTTGAGTTAAGCGGAGTTCAAATTAGTCAGTCAATGCTAGAATGAACGGTCATACTCTGCGAAGGTAGAACATTATGTGAGCTGTGAAGCTTTTTTGTGAAATAGATTATTGTTTGTGTGCCAAGACACAAATATTTACATGGCAGAGTTAATGCAATGAAAGTTCAGAGTAATCAGTAATTGGCATTTTCTTCTGTTTCTTCTGTTGCGTCTTTATGAGCATCGTTTACAGCTTGCTCAAGAGCTGTAGCGCAGTGCCTGAATCCTCATCTGCTGAGAAGTGCTGCTTTAATTTTTTTGCTCTAGTAAATATTTGGCTTGGTTTCACCCACTCCTTTGCGTGAGGCCTTGTCAACCGCACTGGAGCTACTAGGAACGAGATGGACACCAGGGACAACCTCACTACCTACAATGATCTCGTTAAGAACATTTACCTGAACTCCGAGCCTTTCCCCCACCTCACCCCAAGCTCAACCGGGTACAGGCCACCACTTTGCGTCTACTTCAGACAAACACGTATCTCTCTCCTGCCCGCTTTCATTTCATATTCCTGGACGTGTACACAACCTCCCACTGCCGGTGCTGCGACACTCACCCAGCTACGCTTCCGCACATGCTGTGGGATCGTCCGGCACAGTACAGACACACTAAGGCCATGACCCTTTCGTCGAAACTCCATGAGGCTCTGCGGAGCCCCGCTCTTTACGACCAAACCTGGGTGGACCCAGCACGCCCGTTAGGTAGCGTCGAAGCAAGCCCTTGACGTCCCCTCATGGGAGGCTTAGGCCCGGCCACCTAAAGCTGCTTGTTTCTTATAATAACGTTTATTCCTCCTCCTCTTCCGGTTTAGTTCTGCAACATTGTGATTACTGTGGGCCAATTGCTGCGAGGAGTGATAAAAAACAGGGGCGCCTACTTCGAATTAACCAGTGTGGATACCGACACTTTCAAAATATAGGGAGTTCTACCTCACAGTTTTGGCAGTGATGACACATGGCTTAACCGGGACCATAATGTTAGTTCAAATGAACTTGTATGTTCGAATTAACCGAGTTTGAAATCATGTGCTTTAACTGTAGTCGAACGATCTGTATTGCGTGCACTGACTACCATTCTTTTGTCCATTTCTAAAGCTGTCACCATAGTCGACGTGAGAAACAGCAGGCCCTTAAACCAGCAACAGATGCTCGTGCTCATGTGCTCTTTTTCTATCGGATGCACGTGCCTGTTGCATTTTAACCTCAGATACTGAGGATGGGAATTCAGAGAGGTACAAAGACAAGCTGGTGAATGCATTCACTGTAAAAACGGGCACAACTTCAATGCCACAACTAAATTTCACGTCGGCTTGTCGTGATGTATCCGTTCTCGACTTTCAAAACGCAGAGATACCCAGCGAAACTTGCTCAGCTAAGCCTCTAAAGCTTTCGTTTTAAATGCTTTTGCCCTGTTGGCAAGTAGGGGGCAAGCAAGGCTTGGTGTGTGTGTGTGTGCGCACCTGCCTAACTTTCTGTCTTTCTTTTTAGCAGTGTAGCACTTTATTGCTGTGGGTAATGATGCCGGTCATGCGTTTACGTCCAGGCAACAATGAAATGTGGCTATGAGAAATGAGAAGTCACCCTGAAAAAAGATCATATTGCCTTATCAAAAATGGCTGGTTGCCTACAAGCCTATGATCAAGGGAGTGTTAGTTATTTAAAAATGGTGCATACAAATATGCATGTGAAGGGCACATTTTTAACGGCCTTCTGAAGGCTCATCAGTGTCGGGTTTCTTGTGTACGACACAGCCACTGAAGTATTTGAGTTATAAATGGTCTGCCAAAAAAAAAAAAACCTACGATATATAAACCATATTTACTGGCATATTTGCACAGACCTGAATAAGTCAGTAGTTACCAATGTTCTCGGTTTCTGTTGATTCGCCCATTTCAAGACTGACAATATGGATCCTCTTGTACACAGCTGCTTGAATAATGACCTAGCAAAGACATTTAAACAATTTGCCACTTTATTTACTCAGTTCGATTTCGTCTGCAATCTAGTGGACAAGAATTATATACACGCTAAAGAAAAAACCGCCTACGAGGTAAGGTGAACTACGAGGCAAAGGAGAGCTTAAGAGAGCAAGGTTGAGATGGCATATTAGCAATGCTCCCCTCATTTATTGCCTGGTGTGCCAGCAAGTATTTCCCCCCTTAATCTCCTTGAAAGCACACATATGACATCAATGCGACCTTATATGCCGTCTTGCGGGAACAGGCACCGGCATTTTTAGTCAATGTGTTATTTGAAGCTTTCACTTCAAAACAGAAAATTTGCAGCATGCATCACTGAGCGTGACATGCACTATAACATAGTTGATCAGAATAAACTCTCTTGGAAACATGGATGTGTTATGCATAATTAAGTGCAATAATATCTGGAAATTGAGGGGTTTGGTATTCGAGGGCCCTGGAAATTCAGACGGCCTATTGTCTTATGTAACATACGTTCACATTGCCCGACATCAGCTTCGAGAATTTGGTCTCTCTTGCAATGTGACCGACATGGCCCAGATCGAACCTGCAACCTCCACGTCAGCAGCTGAGCACCGTAACCACTATACCATTGTGATACATTGACATCCTTTGTTACTGCTAGTTAATTGAAATTGAAATTGATCTGTTTTAGCCATCCTGTGTAATTACATATGTTGATGAAAGACTATTGAATGAAAGCTGTCCAAGAACAGCTCGACAAGTCTGGCACTCTTTCATTCGGCAGGGAGGCAACATCACACATGCACACATATGTGTACACACTTATACGTATTGTTAAGGGTAGGAAGTCGATGGCAGGAACGGCGGGCTTCTCTTTAGGGTAGCTGGCACCCCGCCGTCGTCCGCATAGCCGATCTTCGCCAGTGAGAAGACGCGTTCGTAAGAGAGGTAGACCGAAGGTTTTATTTACATTATTGAAGAATAGATAGGAACTGTACAGGGATAGAGAAGATCCCGCATTATGTACAACAGAGGTTCAGCTCATGTTTTCTTACAAGATTCCGCTCACATGATTCAGCAAGATTCAGCACAAGATTCAGCACAATTTACAAAGATGCTTCGGCTTTTATAGCCGGCCATCACCGCCGTCCGAAGGAGGCGCTGATCACTCTTTCCACAAAGCAGGGGACGAAGTCTTTGTGGTACACCCACCAGAAAGGGTGCAGATATTGCACCACTCGGCTGGGCGAAACGGTCCAATGGTAACCGTAACGTACCACACAAACAGGCACCTAACCCACGCCTTGAAGGCACCGCAGGGCGAGCAGGTAGAGTCCAGAGAGGGAACGTTGCATTCTTCCGGGGAGATGGCCGCTAACTTAACGGCCAACAGCGGTCCACGCTACTTTCAGCTTCAGGCAGTCCCAACGCTCGATTGCTCGATTCCGGTGAACGGTCTCTTCGACGCGCTCCCCCGCTTCCGGGCTGTTGGTGCACCGAGATGGTCTCGCGTAGTTGACAAGAGCCGAGTCACGAGGTTGTCTTAATGAGACCGCCACAGTGGCGCCGTTCCACCCCTGATCGAGCCCGTTCAACAAAAGGCTTGCCTCGCGAAGCTTTCGTTGAGACCCGACTGTTTCCCGGAACGTCTACCGGACAGCGTCTTGCAGACTGGGCGCCGATGGGGTTAAGCCTCCCCAGTAGACCGGCTTACACACAATGGCGTCTGCCCAGACGAATCGCCGGGCCAAATGTAACAGTATTTACGCATAGACATAGCTGCATGTGGCAACATACTTCTGCTTGAAAATTTTGCACTCACACTTTGGTCTTACTGTTAACAAAATCAAACAAGTACGCGTGACAACAGATAGTTTATAGTCAAACCCCTTTATAATAAACGCTGATATAAGAGACAAATTGGGTATAAGAGACACCACTGTGCCTACAGTAAAATAAGGGTTGATAAGAAAATGCATACGAGGTACCCTGCTTATAACAGACATCTCATATACAAGACAAGAATTGTTGGCCGGAGCATGCCTCTTATAAAGGGGTTTAACTGTATAGGAACCGTATAGTACATCAGTTTTAATTCCTTAGCAGAGCTTTCAAAAAGATCAAGCCATCCCTACCTTATGATAATTGTTTTACAGTTTGGGCATTGTATACTTGAGTCATGGTTTTTCATAGTTTGAACATGGTGTTGATAATTGCTGGTGTTGTATTAATTATGGCTAATGTGCACTGGCTACGGTATGTTTAGTAAACAATGGAATTACAAATGGTTGCTGTAGTAGGGAGCTTCTGAAAGGGTAAGTATTTCTTGCCACACTGTATTTGTTTCTTTTTGATTCTAGACTGGTTGAGCTGGTCGAACTGGGGCACCTCCTCAAGCGTTCTGGGGGACTTGACTCTGCCCTGCAGCCCATGTGGTATGAATCGCTGTCACCAGGCGAGCGACAGCGGCTGAGCTTCCTGCGTGTCCTCTGCCAGAGACCCAAGATGGCGCTGCTTGACGAAGCCACCAGCGCGCTTGATGAGGACACCCAGGTGAAGCTTTACCACGAGTGTCGCAGGCTGGGCATCGCGACCGTCACCATTGGTCACCAGGCCTGCCTCGAGCCTCTGCACGATGCCACCTTGGAACTTCACGGTGCCGCAAAGGGCGGCACTTGGACGTTGAAAGAACGAGGCCAAACTCCCGATGGCGACTCCGCTGTCGTTGAGAATGCAAAGTCTTGATTGAATGTCTGAACGTTGCATAGACGACACGATGTCACTCAAGCTCTATCTTCAGCAGTGTGAGAACGAAAGCAGCAGCCATTCTGCTCTGAACAAGGGGTCAGTCGATATTCAAGACGTGCTATAGGAAGATGCCAAGTTGCTCTGTACTGATGTGACGTGTTCCTAAAAGGGCAAACGAGTCACCTTTATCGAAAACAAAAGATTGGCATGATGCATACTGGACTGCTTGAATTAGATACTGCCATGTTGTAATGCCTGTAACACCTTCCTTTTAAAAAAGAGGTATGACTAGAGCAGAGTACAGCTTTTGGGTTGTTATTGGAAACGCGTTGGACAAATCTTCAGGGTTTCAGAAAAAATAAGTTCGGAAACTTCTGTGCATAGGGCGGGAACAGGTTGACACAGCACTAACAGGAATAGAGAAATTTTGAAAAGACCCATTTCGTGTGCCAAAATGACTCCAGCTATTAAGTCTGTTCACCTTTCATGAGGCTTTCTTGAAAGAGTTTGGAAAAAAAAAAAGTAAACCTCACCGTGTTCTTATGCAGGAAAAGGGAAAAAACTACTCTGCATATATACTTCACTCTAGCTTTGCTAGACATCTCGCCTTCCTTAAAGAATCACTTTCGTAGCTATAATAGAAGTGATGTGCTAATGCATCCTGATTCAACAGAAAAAACAGGCCTGCATTAGTACATTGTCTTGAAAATATTAGTAAAAGAGAGGAAAGTAGCTGGGGCAATTACAGGCTTAATTAGCAAAAAAATTATTATTGGGAAGGACAGAAAGCAGCTTAAATGTTCCAAGCACACTGCAACTTCTTTTTCCATGTAACCTCACCATGTAGAGTTGTTCGGTTTCCTGAGCCTACATTTTCTTATGTGGAAGTATACTGCTGATCAAAGCAAACAATTGACGAGTTGAGCTTAAAGACAGCAGTAGATTCTGGATTACAGTGTAGCATACTCCTGGTCAGGGTTTCTAACGCGCAGTAGTAGTGGCTCTGCTTACTTGCGTCTTGAATATAGATTCCTCTTGTACTTGAGGCATGACGAAGTGGTTAAAATGTATGAATTATTTTATAGTATTTGCTTCTTTGTTCAGCATGGAACTGTGCAAATTTCGTCTCCGAAAATTGATGCGTTTTATTATAGTCATCATTTTCTTTCAATAGTCATCTTGTGTGCCACCAACAGTACTTTTGTACTGTGCGTTATAGCTGCGCGTTGGACTCTTTTTGTGGCGTGGTGTAAGTGTGTGTTGTACTGACAACTTTTTCCATGCAACTTTGTTCAACTTCTTTTTGCAGCGTGTGTCATAGAGCAACGCCTCCTTTATTACAATGCCAGTGCAACCGCGCGCTTCTCAATGGGAGCCGTCGGTGAGCCTTAGTTCAGAGAGTGGTCGTGATGTGACGCTACATGATGGGTAGCGTTGCTTGCGCCACACGTGCTTCTGAGCGCTTTCCCTCAGAGATGCAATAGACGCATTTCCCACTCTAATATCATATGTCTGTCAGATTTGTTTCTCGTGCTCCTTCTTTGCGACCCTAAGTAATGCCGCCTCCGCTTCACCGCTCAACGCGTGCAGTAGCTTTGCTGTGACCCTTCCCCATTGGTTGCCCGCATAGTGCAACGAACAGCGACATGCTGTCTCAAAACACAGCATCTTTCATAGAGCCAGCATGACCGCCAATATTGTGAACACAAGGAATGCAAGACGCCGCCCCATGGATCTGCACACAAGTGAACAAGAAACTATTTCGTATGATTTTGGTCGTGAGGCACAGCATGAGGGGCTCTCTCCCCCATGACCGCAAAGCACAGGCCAAAGCTAGGCGATGGGTGAGAGCAGGAATGATCTAGGGGAGAGAGTGGTGAATGGGTGATTTGGCCAAATCTGGTTGGCATTGATAAAATAGAGGAGGCGTTGCATAGAGTATGTTAGATTTTTTTATAATGCGTTTGCTACCGATGCCAAAGAAGTACTTCTGGACTGTGATACTGGTGGGGCCGTGTCAGTGCACTTATGCACTTAAAAATAAAGTGACATGCTTGCTTCACTCTATTATTGTGCTCTTTAAGGACGCACTGAAAGAAATATTAAGCTAAATTAACTTTTATTCAAAGTACTATATAGGGGGATTTCGCCTTGAGTATGTAAGGAACTTGGCACAAAAAAAGCACAAGAAAAGACGGTTCATGTCGATGGCTTGATATTCTCACACCTTTTATTATGCCATCATGTTATTAACAATAATAGCATTTAGGTGGGCCAGCTGGCTGTGTAACTCAAGAGCAGATAGACATTTAAAACAGCAGTAACTAGCCAGGAACATACAGTAGACCTCGGATATATGTCGAACTCGGAGCGGATCGCGAAATAGTTCGATATATCGATAATAGGAAATATAAAATATGTCCATTTAAGAGTTACTTTGAAGCGCTGCTTGTCTCGGAGCGGTGTCCAAAGACTGTGCTAAGCTTCCGCTTGCCGACTTTCCCAGAATATCAAAGAAAAAACACGAAATTCATCACACTTTTTTTGGTACGAAAAAAGTCTGTGAGCCTGGGTTGCTTCTTTGTCTGAGCCGTTATATTCATGAGGCCATCCTCAATATTGTTGAGGCTTCTCACATAGGCAAGCCCACCGCCTTCCGTAGGACCACAACAGCGGGGAATAAGACTAAATGCCGATGCAAGCTCTGCAGTAGTATAGGGTTGTGTCGAGGCGTCGTCGGCATCATCGTCGCTGCTCGGATTGGCCTCATCGGCCACGATTTCTGCATCGGTGCGGTCCGAAACGGCTTGCACATCATCAGCAGCACTGATGAAATCGCTCGCTGTGGCCCCATCAGGGATGGCACTCGGAAACGCAGAAAGCTGGCGAAATTTATCCTCGAGGCACTCTATGTCGTCATCTGCTGTGACATCGCCGTCGCACCTATATTCATCTGGTGAAGCTAGAAGGCCAGATTTACCGAAGCAGTTCACAATCGAGGCTTGTTTGACGTCCCTATATGCACCGGTTATCATTTGTATCGCTCCGTGGAGATTGGTTTTCAGTTCGACCCTTAACTGAAGGTTGATCAGGAGTCTGCACCAGACGTCGCCTATATCCGACCTCAAAAGATTTCATAATGCCTTGGTCAAGAGGCTGCAGCCTCACCTTGGTGTTGAGCGGCAGAAACTTGACTGTGATCCTTTTGAGGTGGCTGACCACATGACATGCTGAACAGTTGTCTACAAGAAGACAAACATTGTGGTCTGCCTTCTCCAGTTCGGCATCCCACTCACGCATTCATTCAGAAAAAAGGTCCCGTGTCATCCATGCTTTTTGAACGTGTATCGGACCGGGAGGCTCTTCGCGTTCTTGATGCATCGCGGCGACTTGCTCTTGCCGATAACGAACGACCGCAGTTTGTAAAAGCCATCCATGTTCGTTGCGAGCAAGATCGAGACGCGCACTTTGCTCATTTGCCCTCCATGACAAGAGGTTCCTTTAGAATCTAACGTCTTATTCGGCAACATTTGCCAGAAGAGCGTCGTTTCGTCGGCGTTGTATATATCCGACGGCAAGAAGCTGTCTCGAATCTTTGGTGCCACAGTGATTCACGCCATAGCGATAACGATTCCATAGCGATTCTTGAAGCGTTGCTGCCAACCGGTGCCACCAGTAAAGTCATCCACCCCCAAGGCTGCAGCGAACCACTTCGTCTTTTCCGTTAGCATAGGGCCATCAACGGGAATGTTTTTCGCCAGAGTTTCCAAAAAACCAGGCTCACAGCGCTTTTTCAATGTTATCGTACGCAGGAGCATGCACGCGACAAGCCTTAAAACGGCACGACTGGGCAGCCTTCGCTTCTACATCAGTTTTGTTCCAGAAAATCGTGCTCAATGCGCTCCGAGGAATGCCGAAAGCTTCTGCGACCGAGGACTCCTTCTCTCCAGCCTCCATTCGCCGAATGATGTCGGTTTTGATCGCCAAGTCCAAGTTCTTACACTTCTTTGCGTTCATGGCTACCAAGGCCTAGAGATGCCGTGCACAAGTCGGGAAACGTGAGAGCAGCGAGTCAGCGACAGAACACTAAGCCAGCACAACACAAACAAAAGAGCAACGATTGCAACGGGGTCCTATTCCTGTTGAAACATGCTCTCGGTGGTGGCAATGTCACTTGGGCTTTTTGAAACAAGCAGCAAAAAAAAAAGAAAAAAAAACGAAAGACCCTTAGGGGTGTACAATTCGCAAATGCATGGCCTTCGAGATCTGAAATAGCCACTCTTGCTTGGGGCGCCGATGGAAGCAGATATCAAAGGCAATGTTTTTGGGGACTGCATGCCAGAGTGCAAGATTAGCTTGAGAATGCACATTGTGTAGAAGCCGCAGGTGCAAACTATCGTGTAAGTTTTATTTGGTGCTTCAAGATATTGGCATACTTATTAAAAAAACGCTAATACTATACCTTGCAAGCTGAATACCGCAGCAGACAAAAAGGTACACTTGCAAGTGCTGTGCAAACTTATTGAAGGATTGCAATCACATTCTCAACGCGGGCGCACACGATAAGGGTCCGTAACTCTATTGAAACACGACTGAATAAACTCCGTGCAAACTTATTGAAGCAACATGATCACAATTCTGACGGGCGAACGAAAAGGGTGTGTAACTCTCTTGGAACGAGACTGAATTGTGATCAGTGTCACGGCTCCGGCGCGGCGCACCGTTCCATATATAGAATCTTTCGGCGTACAAGTGTTCTATATAGACGCACCTGTGCCCTACACTTTTACATCCATTTTTCAAGTGGATTTTTCGGCTGTTCGATATAGCCAATAATTCGATATATCCGAGTTCGATATACCCGGGACCGACTGCAATTAGCATAAGGGACAAGATTATATGTGGAAATAAGTATTGTGGAGGTTCTCTGGGCAGACTTTGGACATCGAAACTACAATTTGGGATTAACGCTCATTGTATCTCTCTTCTACACCTATAATGATTATTTCTACATGACAATAATAATAAATGTAGTTTGGAGAAACACTATGTTGCTCTAAATTGATCAAATCTTTCAGATACCCAAGTTATGGAACAAAAAGAAGAGCAAATACGTTTTTGAAATCTTGACTTCAGCCCTACCACCCTACCTAACGTACCTAGCTCAGTTGTAAGCTATCCTTTGCAAAGGAGGAGATTGGAGGGCTGAATATACAAAATGAGGGTGCCACTGCTTTAAGGCGGCCAATAATGAAAGGGACCAATTTTACAGCTTCTGTCCTACATTGTACTAGTTCATCTTTAAATTGGCTCATCAGAATGTCATTTTTTAAAACCAAGCTCACTTCACGATTTTCACTACCATTGAATGATTAGTTATCACTTTGTTCCCTGAAGTTCTCTTCTCTAGTTTGTACATTCCTTACAAAATTTAAAATTTTTGGGACATATCAGCTCTGTAAGCGTGTTTGTCTTTGAGCCTGCTGCAGGTTTCATCCCCAATTTTCACAGTAGGTTTGAGGCATCAATCAAGTTGACATGGCGCACAGAGTTGGTCAACATTTTGGTGTACTGATGCAGCCATGTCCCCTGAACACATTCGGAAAGGCAGCTCGAAACATTGAGCCCTCTATGTCAAGTCGTCAAGTGCCACCGTCAATGCTAAGTGAACCTGCAATGTCTCATCAGCAGTTTGCCAAGAAATTATCAACTTATGTCTGAGCAAATATGGCACTATTTGTGGCCTTGATCATTATAATCCTGTTTCTTCTTACCTACTCACTTATGTAATGATATGCTTAAGCCTTAAAAGGTGTTTCAAAGTCATGTGAACAATTCCTGATGTGTTACCAAGGCATTCAATTTTATGCACGGTCAAATAGTAACATCATCATACTTATTTTTTCTTTCAGCTTGCCTAGAATATTGATCTCCATATCCACTCACATGTTCATTTCATATTCCATAGTCATTTCAGAGATACTGGCCACTTTGAAGTTTTTCTGAAGAATGCGTGTATAGTGTGCAGTAATATTTTTTGAAGTGAAGATTCCTGTATTGCTCATGTTCCTCATGTTGTGTGGCACATTTACTTACATGTGCTATAATGTCTTGACTGATTTGTATAATAGATAAGTGGCCATTTTCGAATGCTTTAGTAACAGTGTGTGGTGACTGCTTTATGTCGTAAATGTGAAATAGGTTACGTATAGCCAAAGACATATCTCTTATACATACAACAACTTCAGCAGTATATTGTGTTTTATTCTTGAAAAATATTCCTGGCCTTTGTTTGTATGTATTAGTTGATATTTTTACTTTGTGACTTAGGTTCTCTCATCCCGCTCAATTTTACATTTCTGAATTTATAATTGTTTTTATGCACGTTAGTTGTGTGTTAACAACTATTACATGGAAACAATGGGCAGAAAAGTGTAAAGGAGCAGTAACAGGACAATTCCTGGTTACGGCTATTACAGTTCAATTAACAGTAGTCTTGTGTCCGATGATCCCCAACTTGAATCACAAGTCGATTCCCTAACATATACGATATGTTAGGGCAATGCTAGCATCGTTGAATGTGACAAACTCTGGAGTTCCTCAAAATGTTTCTAATTGCCCGCCTAATATTAGAAACTAGCGCTGCAACATGGAGCATCGTAAGAATATGTGCACCCAAGTATCGGTTACGTTGAGAGCACACCTTATGAACTGGAGCCCGCATAGATGTACAACGTAACGATGGGTGTGCAGCAGTATCCATGATGTTGTGATGCAGCCGACTTGTTTCGATGAAATTTCTGCAATACACTCGTCTGGTAAGCACACTATTTCATTTCATTTCATTTCATTTTATTACCTTAAAGACCCCATTGAAGGGGTATTACATAAGGGGTGGGTACATATATGAAAACGTGAAAGCCATTTTTTTTTTTTTTACAATGCAAGGTAATTCGTTACGGTCTTAAAAAAGGTGGTAGGACAGGTTATGACCGTGATTTCGTTATGAAGGCCGTTCCAGTCCGTAGCTGCACGAAAAAAGAATGAGGACGAGAAAGTGACGGTGCGCATACGCGGCCGCTCAACTTGTTGCGGGTGACCAGTGCGATGGGAGATGCGTGCCGGAGGAAGAATGTATGGTGGCCTGCCGAGCGAGCTGTAAAAAAACTTGTGAAAAAGGGAAAGACTAGAAATGCGGCGACGAGATGCAAGCAATGATAGGCCAGATTCTGTTTTTAGTGCTGATATGCTGACGTCGTAAGAGTACGTAGAATGAATAAATGGTGTGGCTCGATTTTGAAGTGACTCGAGTTGATTGATGAGATATGCTTGATGCGGGCTCCAAATGGCTGATGCGTATTCTATCTTCGTCCTTACGAGAGATTGATAAGCTAGTAATTTGACATTATTAGGAGCGTGATGCAATCGGCGTTTTAAGAACCCGAGTGTTTTGTTATCAGATGCAATGATGTTCGTAATGTGCGTTGCCCAGGTTAAATAGCTACAAAGGGTTACTTCGAGATATTTATAGGAAGGAACTAATTCGAGGTTTGTGTCAGCAATTTGGTATGGGAATACTATCGGATTTCGACGGCGGTGAAAGGAAACAGTTTTACATTTGTTAGGGTTGAGTTTCATTAGCCAAAGGTTACACCATTCCTGTAAGCTTAGTAAGTCAGTTTGAAGAGACGTGTTATCCGAAACGTTGTTTATTTTACGATAGATAACGCAGTCGTCTGCAGACATGCGTATGTTAGAAGATACATGTAATGGTAGGTCATTAATGTAAATCAAAACAGAAGCGGGCCTAGGACAGACCCTTGAGGGACACTTGAGGTTACCGAGGTAGTGTTAGACATTTGATTGTTGACGGAAACTGATTGCGAACGATTAGTTAAGAATTCTTTAATCCATGCTAATACGTCATCATTTAAATTCAACGCGGCAAGCTTTAGTAGTAGGCGATCATGAGGAACTTTGTCAAATGCTTTTGCGAAATCGATGAAGATGGCGTCAGTCTGAAGGTTAGAGTCGATGTTAACATGCAGGTCGTGAACAAACATAGCTAGCTGCGTTTCACACGAAAACCCTTTCCTAAAGCCATGCTGTGCAGGATGAAAAAAATTATTGGAATCAAGGAAGTCCATGATATCTGTGTAGATGATATGCTCGAGGAGTTTGCAGGGTACGCTGGTTAATGAAATGGGACGATAATTTAATGGTGATTGTTTGTTACCAGATTTGTGGACTGGAACGACCTTTCCGTGCTTCCAATCTGGAGGCAGCATTCCTGTTGAAACTGATTGTGAAACTAGTAGACACAGATACGCTGCACATATATGTTTAGTATTTTTCAGGAGTTTGGATGTAATGTTGTCTACACCAGCTGAAGAAGAAAGTTTGATTTTGTCTATTAGTGATGAAATACCGCTGGAAAAAAACGTAATTGGTGGCATGGTACATTCAAAGTTCGCATGAGGGATGGTAAATGACAACTTAGTTTCTTGGGTGAAAACGGATGCGAAGGCGGCGTTAAACACGCGTGCACATTCCGTTTCACTTAAGGCATCCCCTAACTCATTACATAGTGTAATATTGCGCGTGTCCTGTGGGTTTATGACTTGCCAGAATTTTCGGGGGTTGTTCTTAAGCATGTTCGGTACGTCCGAATGGAAGAATGAGTGTTTGGCGTGACGTACGGCTTGCAGATAAGCAGATTCGGCGGCTTTGTACTTGTTCCATGCATCAGGGGTGTTACGGGACTTGGCTGCGCGGAAGGAGCGTTTTTTCTTGTTTTGTAATCGTTTCAGTGCTTTATTGAACTAGGGTTGGGCGGTATTAGGATTGATGTTAATTTGGGGAATGTATTTATTTATTTATTTAAATACCTTAAGAGCCCGGAGGGCATTACATAAGGGGGGATACATACAAGAGGTTACTATAGCATCAGTAAAACAACATGTCAGGGAGTAATACAAGTAATCAAACTGACCGATAGCCCAAGCAACATTACTAATAACACAATAAGCAAAAAACACAGTAAGCAGCCCACCATAACAGGAAACATATTTCAAGAAATAGCAATAAACATTCTCTAAGCATGCGTTACACATTAAATGTCAATGGTGGTTACAAATTATTGTCAACTTCTAAGTAAGTTAGTACTGCAGACTGGAAAAGGGAGGGTTCTGTAATAGCGACGATGTTTGAGGGCAGCGCGTTCCACTCGTTAATGGATAACAGCAGAGGTGAAAATTGGTATTTCTTAGTGCATCAATATATTGGATTGACCTTATGTGCATGACCAACGCGATCAGAAACGTAGGGAGCCGGGTGAATGAATGATCGGGAAAATGACGAGTCACTATGATATAAACTATGAAAAAAACATAGGCGGGACAACTTTCTGCGCGTGGCAAGCAACGGAAGGTTCAGAGAACGCTTAAGACATGTTACGCTTTGGTGGCGAGAATGACAGAAGGTGATAAACCGAGCTGCTTTATTTTGTACTGATTCTAGCTCATCAAATAACATTGCCGTGTGTGGATGCCAGATGGTTGACGCATACTCTAGTGAAGGCCTGATCAGAGCTTGATATGCGTGAAGTTTAGTTTTCAAGTTTGCGCATCTGAGGCGGCGTTTCAAAAGACCGAGTTTTTTTGATGATTTGCTGGTGATGTATTCAATGTGACTGTTCCAGGTTAGGTCGGAACTAAAGAAAATGCCGAGGTATTTTGTGGATGAAACGGTCTCAATTACGGTGCTATTGACTATGTATCTGACGGATGATGAGGGGTTGGCTACGGAAGTAAATCTAATATGTTTGGTTTTTTTCAGCGTTGATGTGCATCTGCCACAAGTTGCACCATTCTGTGAGTTTTAACAAATCTGACTGTAGGATGCTACTGTCATTCGGTTCGGTAATCTCCTTATATATTACGCAATCATCTGCGAATAGGCGTAGAGAAGAAACAATATTAGATCCAATGTCATTGATGTAGACCAAGAATAATAATGGTCCGAGCACGGAGCCCTGGGGGACACCGGATTTTACCATGCACTTTCTGGAAATTATGTGGTTAAGTTTGACCGATTGCAACCGGTTACAGAGGAACTCTTGAATCCATTGGATTGTTTTCTGATCAAGCTGGAGGTTACGGACTTTAGTTATTAATCGGTTATGTTGGACGCGATCAAAAGCCTTTGAAAGGTCTATAAAAATAGCATCTGTAGGAGCAGAGTTATGCATGGATTTGTGCAAGTCAATCACCAATTCGAATAGTTGGGTGTTGCAAGAGCGTTTTTCCCAAAAGCCGTGTTGGTTTGGGATGAGGATGTTGTTTCTGTTCAAGTGAGATATAATTTTCGAGTAAATGATATGTTCTAATAGCTTGCAAGATATACAGGTTAGAGAGATTGGACGGTAGTTGTTCGGACTTGACTTTTGGCCGGATTTGTATATGGGTTTAAGAAAGGCATATTTCCAGTCTTCCGGTACACAGCCCGTGTCAAGCGACTGCTGAAAGATCAGCGACAATAAATACGCTGATCTGTGGCAGGTTAATTTTAGGAGTTTGGCACTAATTCCGTCGGGCCCCGGGCTAGTCTTATGAGGAAGGCGTTGTACAGCTTGTGAGACACCATTTTCAGTTATTGTAATTGAAGAAAAAGGGTCGTGAATGGTAGGTTTTAACAGTGCCAGTGAGTCTAGTGGAAGTTCTTCCGTGAACACAGATGCAAAAAATTCGTTGAAGCATTCAGCACTTTCCTCTGGCGACAACGCTTTGCCTTGATCACTCAGTAGAGTTGGCTCAGAAGGGTAGGCTGCAGGGTTCACCACGCGCCAGAATTTCTAGGGGTCAGTTTTCAAAAGGTTAGGTAAGGTGCAGTTAAAATATTTTTCCTTGGCCTCTTTTATTGAGGCCTCGGCTTGTTTTGAAAGATTTTTATAATTAAGCCAATCTTCCGGAGTATTAGTTCGTGTAGCCCTTTTAAAAGCTCATTTCTTCCTATTTAGGCATCTTTTTACATCGCGTCTGAACCACGGGTCATTTGTTTTGGTGCTGATTGTCAGTTTCGGGACGCAGCATTCTTCTATTTTCTTTAGTGTGTCACGGAATTGAAGCCAATTTTCGTTTGCAGCACGATGTTCAAAACTTGA